AGCAAGGCTCACTACCTTGTATTCCTAAAATTTGAACCAAATTCCACATCTTTTTCTTTCATTTTATGGGGTAAAAAAATATCTCATTTTTCTTAATTAATTTCTCTAATCCTTGTTGAAATGGCTAAAAATAAAGTGAAACTTGAATTTACTTGGAAATAAACATGCACAGAACCTTCAGTGTATTACAATTGCTCAAAGAAAATTAAGAAAAAGTTTACATTAATGGAAAACTAACTGTTGATAGTGAGAACTGTAGGCCAAATTGAAAGGAACCCACAATGGGTTTTTGCTACAGCAGCAGAGAGATGAAGAGAAATAATTGAGAATAGAGCTTCTGCGTTGAGACGGATGATCAAAATTAAAGAGTTACTTTTGTTTTTTCCGTTATGATTAATAGTTGAGAGTACTGGAATTTGTATGCTAGCTGCACAGGACCGAGGAACCGAGTCAGACTGTCAGTGGTTAGTGATTAATACTACTCCGTAGTACATTTGGCCAGCCTCGAAAAATCCGCTAATTTTAAGAAAACTCGGAAAGTATTTTTGAACAATAACCTTTATTTGGTCAAATTTTTCAAAAAGTTGCTTGTAAGTATAAAATTACGAAAAAGAACATGAAGAGATTTGCTTAATAGTTAATGTTATATAAGTAGGTAAATAATCACAAATATTTATAATTTGAGATAATAATTAGTTTTTTTTTATTTTATTTAAGTAAAATATAAAAATAAAATTGAAAAGTATTTTATTCTTTTAAGATAATTTAAATATATCAACAAATTATTTAATATATATGAAAATTCATCCCAAATATCATTATATCTATATCTATATTATATTAAAAGAAGAGTAGTGAAGCATGTGGTTAAGCGAAGTGGCAAGCTAAAATGAAGCCACTTGGCAAGTTTAAGACAACATTAAAAATTTGAATTATAAATGGAAACATATTTAATGGAAGTAGTTTAAATGAATCTTATACATAATCTAAATAGATCTTAGAAAAATCTATTTATATATATATATTTATATGTATATGTATATTTGTATCTATATCTATATTTATATCTATATATTGATCCAATCATAGATTTTCTTCTATGTTAGCTAGAAATTTGGGGATAAAATTAATTAAAAACTATAATAAAAAAATAAAAAATATAAAAATACGTAAATGGAGATAACCTATGACTATTTATATTTTGGAGTAAATTAAAATATAAAATAAAACTAATATCACAACGTTTAATATTACAAAATATAAAATAAAAGTAATAAAACAAAATAAAATCTTACATAAAGTATACAAATTATTTATAAGTTAAGAAAAAAAATTAAATAATCAGGAAAAACTATTTTAATAACAGGAATAATAAAGTCATATTAATATTTATAAATCGGGCAAATAAATATTTTATACGTAAAATATTACAACGTTTAGATATAATGTGTTCAAATAATAGAAAATATTTTTGTATGATTAATATTTGAATTTAGTGCAGTTAGTTTAAGTTTCAAAACATAACATAAATTTTTGAAAATACGGTCCAATTTAGAAAATAGAATGATAAAAATTATTTGAGTTTGAGATGAGAAAGTTATTTAATTTTTATCTATATTATATTAGAATGAGTGTGGTAGAAATAGATATTAAATTCAAACAAGCTAATAAAAATCCACATGACAGTGTAATAATATTAGGAATTGAATAATATAATATCAAAAATAATTAATAAATAGAGAAAA